ACTATCAAATGTGTTACCTCTTTAATCTGGAGCTTGTATCACTCTCCATTGAGCTGTAGCAGGGATGAAACAAATAATACATCTTCCCTGCCCATCCTCAGCCTGCCGTGTCGATTACAGGAGCACAGCTGTCGGATTGTTTACATTGTTGCGATTTTATTCATAAATAAATAAAAAATTAACCCGTAAAAACAAAGTTTTTCACTATAAATCCTTTATATGCGTGGCATCGGGGCGGCTAGAGTCATCTCGTCCTCTGGCTTGAGATGGCTGCCACCTATGGGTCAGATGATTGTCTGGCAGCATTAAACAATTGGTAATTAAATATGTATTTTCCCCTAAACAGTGTAAAATTTTGCAGTCTCGAAGTCATCTTCTGCACGTGTCACTACTCTCACCTGTCTCCATGCTGCACGCACTTCTTCTGCCTCACGAGCTTCTCATCGTTCAACAGAAAGTGTGACAACGCGTACGATACTGAAGATAAAAACTCACATTGTGGAAGGTCAAATCCAGACGTGACTGAGCCAATGTCTATGGCAGCTGTGTCTCGCGATGAATCACTTCCAGTAGCTGATCGAGCTGCCCTGACTTGTGCACACAAAGGACTGCTCTTGTCAAGGACTCTCATCACTTAATTTGGAGCTTTCGTGACTGCAGGAATTATTCTTTGGTTCTTTCGGTAAAGTGACGTATAAAGATAAAATAATAAATTTAATTAAATACTAGCATACGACGTTTCGATTGCAACACAAGCAATCATCATCAGGTATACATTAAATAGAAACACAAATCTAGTATACTTAGAAATGTAATGGAATACAACAGAGAGTCGGATAACATAACAGTCAACACCCTACCTGGTTGATTACGTTCTTCCTGAGAATGCTAAATTTGAGAGAGAGATTATGGTTCTGGTTCTGTGTTTGATCTCTCTCTCAAATTTGGCATTCTCAGGAAGAACGTAATCAACCAGATAGGGTGTTGACTGTTATGTTATCCGCCTCTCTGTTGTATTACATTACATTTCTAAGTATAATAGATTTGTGTTTCTATTTAATGTATACCTGATGATGATTGCTTGTGTTGCATTCGAAACGTCGTATGCTGGTATTTAATTTATTATTTTATCTTCATACGTGACTTTACCGAAAGAACCAAAGAGTACTCTCATGACGTGTAATGCCTGCGAGCTCATAGACATTGTGACAGCAGCAGAAGGTCGCTGTTCCTCTCGTGTCCTTGGGCAGCGATGTCGCAATGCCGGGATACGTTGCTGGCGAGCGTCTATTGCGCACACGGTGACACAGGCACCAGGTACCCAAAGCCAACGTGGACTTCTTCACATTTGAAGTCCCAAACAGCACGGAACACTCATTCATATGAGGCTGAGATGACCTTGAGAAGGAGCATGCCAGATACCAGAAGCCAAGAACGGCATCTGTTTTTTAATCCTTTATATTAAGTTCGCTTGCTTGCTTGCTGGCGTGCTTGCTTGCTTACGACCGTGCAAATCTTTCGGTCATTTTTTAACCCACTTCCCGTGATCCAATCGAGCTGACATTTTGCACACAGACTCGTTGTGCGTGACAATTAATTTTCGTGAAACAAATTTTCCCAAATTTTACACTGTTTAGGGATTTTTTTTAAATATTTAATGATCAATTGCTTAATAGTGGCAGACAATCATCTGACCCATAGGTGGTAGCCATCTCAAGCCAGAGTACGAGAGGACTCTAGCCGCCACGCATATAAAGGATTTATAGTGAAAAACTTTGTTTTCACGGGTTAATTTTTGCAAGGTTTGAATTACAATACTCTGTCCAACACACACTCGTACACCCTTACACTCGCTCACCCACATTAGCATTACACATTTTCAAAAGAACCCCTGTGCGGCCTATGCTGACTGTGCTGACTGTTGGGGCAATGCGATTTGCTGGTAGTCGTGAAGGCTGCAATGGTGGTGGGGTGGCCAGCACCACGTCTGTCTCCCCAACGCTGAAGCTGACGTCACACGCCGGCTACTTACTCACTTAAGGCTCAAAGCCAAGGGCATGCCCAGGAACGGTTCCTATATTTGCAACCGAGTTAGAAGTGGCTGCTGGACATTTGTATTCAGATCACCACGTTTGTAGCGCATTTCACTAACCAGCACGCCACATGTCTGCCCGCCCCACATACACAGAGGCACACTATCAGTATGCAACCGAGGAGGCAAAAGATGAGCCGGGCCAACTTGTATTGGCACACAGCGGGGTTAATCGAAAGAGCATCATCATCACGGTGCCTAGGAGATGTTAACTACCTCGCCTGGTATACAAGAGGTCGTGGGTTCGATCCCGACTAACGCCTGCTGCTGTATATTTGAAATCTGCGTGTCTCTCTCTCATCATCATCACGGTGGCTAGATGTTGACTACCTCGCCTGGTATACAGGAGGTCGTGGGTTCTATCCAGACCCTGATGCCTGCTGCTGTATATTTGGAGTTTGCGTGTCTCTCTCACCATCATCATCACGGTGGCTAGGAGATGTTGACTACCTCGCCTGGTATACAGGAGGTCGTGGGTTCGATCCCGATCCTAACGCCTGCTGCTGTATATTTGCAGCCTGCGTGTCTCTCTCCCCGTGGCCACGTGGATTTCTCTCCGGGTTTTCCCTCCACATTTAGAATCACAAGGCCCTCAAGAGTGTGTGCATGCTTTAATTTCACCGGTGGGGTAAAATGTGGGTGGTGGTGGTCAACATTTCCGACTGGATATCTGTGATGAAGAGCTTCACAGCTCATCGGATTCCTCCAAGATACATCATCACCGAGTCTGTGTAGTCCCACCTCTCCTAAAACAAAGTATCGGCCAGCGTGGAAGAGTAGGCCAAGTTACATCCCACGGAGGCTCTCTCTCCAGAGCTCCCTCGAGAAAACCTTCCGTCACAGCGGTGACGCGAGCACTTGCAGGACTGCACCTTTACCCATCGGCATTAGCCGCTTGAAGTCTGCTCCTGTGACCGGGTTACACGTCAACATCGCTACGAGTGTATTTGGGTGAAGTTATTTTTACAACGGCCGAACGTACACACGCGCAATGCGCATGCATCGTGTGCATGCGTGATCAACATACGTTGTGTGTCGATATAACCCAGTCAATGACAGACACCCGCTGTCATTCACGACGACATTCACTCCCCACCCCCCTTCTGGTCTGCACAACTGATTGCCGAGTTTGTGTTTCGCAATCAGAAGAGGCGTTTGGTTCGTTACTGGAGAAATCTGCCGAGCCACGCGGCTTATTTGTGTTAATTTTAACAGATTTCCGGCAAGTTGCAACAAAGAAAGTGACACAAACAACAACTTCTGCTCTGTGTGTTGCACTTCTTTCACACCGTACGTAGCCCAGCCGCGCTGATCCACTCGCTGTTCACTACTCACGATGTTTGTCGTTTGCCTTTGCTGCTGTTAAGTTATTTGAGCGGCGCCTCAACGCTGAAGGTCACAGGCAGTCTCAGTCCAGGGCCGTTCAAATAAGTGACTTTCATGTTCTTGGTTCTTTCGGTAAAGTCACGTAGAAGGGGAATAATAAAATAATGTAAATATAAAACAAAATTTCTCACGTTTCGACTGCAACACAAGAAATCATCATCAGGTGTGAAATCCACAGCAAGAAAATTTGAAAAAAAAATTCTGTGGATTTCACACCTGATGATGATTGCTTGTGTTGCAGTCGAAACGTGAGAATTTTTATTGTTTTATATTTTTATTATTTTATTACTTCCCTTCTACGTGACTTTACCGAAAGAACCAAGAATACGAATCCCTGCAGTCACGAAAGCTTTAAAATCGAAATTTAAGTGACTTTCATTTGACCGACGTCGCACGTACAAACACTGGGCTCGCAACGTGACGCCAATCATTGACTCAGAAGGTCAAACAATCCAGAAGTCACCGGTCCGTCACCCGCCGTCGCTACGGCAGCTGAACCAATGGACACGTTTCTCAAACGCACCCAGCCACCACCCGGTCCAGTCGGTGGGGTAGAGTGTGGGCTACCCCCACTCTGGTGTGTTCTCCCACGGCGTCTGTAGACGTCAGCGTGGAAGAGTAGGCCAAGTAGCCCATCGAGGAGCTCTGTCCAGAGCTCCTCAGAGTGGGAAGGCCGTTCTGCCAACAAGAGCCTGAGTAGGGGAATTGCAGGGACCGCGCCTTTATCTTCTTTTATCAGCTGATGCTTTGAAGTGAATTGTCAGTGGCGGATCTACAATTCCTTACTGGCTGTCGTGTGTGGCGTAGTGTGTGTGGCGTGGCGTGTGTGTGGTATGTGTGTGTGTGTATCTGTGGTGTGTGTGGGTACTTTAAACGTACACCCTGTGGTTCGTGAGCCAAATCCTTAGCAAGTTTCATCCAGACACACAGATAAAGAGACAAAAATGACTTTTATAGGTGAGACACTGCATACAAGTGCAGTGCGAAGTCGTGTGAAGTAGTGGATTCAGTGTGACGCGGCTCGCAGGGAAGGGTGCGACGGACCTCGCTGTGAATCCCAACAAGCGCCGAGTGAACGTTGCCTAGATTTGGCAAACGCGGCGTTAACGAGAACAAAGGAATAAACGGAACAACGGCACTTGGTCGCTAAGCGCATTCAAGTGGCGACGTCACAAAACAACGGCGCTTCCACATCGTGAAGATGAAGCGCATGCAGAGTGTGTTGTAGGGTAGTGCATAGTGCAGTGTAGCATCGCACGCGAGTGAAGTGTGTATAGTAGAACGCAGCTCGTAGTGAGGGGTACACGCTGGATGTCGATGCCATAAACAGCTTTATATTATTATATTATATTATTATATTATTTTATTATGTTTTATTTTTATTATTTTATTACTTCCCTTCTACGTGACTTTACAGAAAGAACCAAGAAGATGAATCCCTGCAGTCACGAAAGCTTAAAATCGAAAAGCTTTGTGGGGGTCGCGATTTCAGTCGAGGCCCCCCCTAGACTGGGGCTGGAGGCTACTTGCAAGCGAATTGATCGACGGTCCACGGGCAAAGCTTGCACTTGACGTTCTCCTTGAGCTGTTCCTTGCACCCGCACTGCATCTCCACCGTGACTGGGGAGGGAACAGCAGAGGGGAGAGAGCTAATGAGATCATCGCAATTGTGCAACCGCCATTAACGTCGAGGTGAACAACATCTACGCGCACTTCTCCTCCCGACGTTGTCAAACGACCAGAGGTCGCAACCGGGTACCCGATACCCGGCTACCCGTACCCGGCCGTACCCGGCCGGGTACGGGTAGCCGTTTGCGATCCTGGTGCGGCCGGGTACGGGTAGACCGTGAGTCACTGGTGAGTCACCGTTTGTCACTCATTTCCCAACGTCTTGTCTCTTCTCACAATTCAAGTTCCTAGAATCAACCCACCCGCGCCTGCAACATGGCTTCGTCCCAGAGGTCGCAAGCGGGTACCCGAAACCCGTACCCTACCCGTACCCGGCCGGGTACGGGTAGGGTACGGGTACGGCCGGGTACCCGCTAGCGACCCTGGTGCGGCCGGATACGGGTACGAGGGGTAAGGAATCAAAACCCGTTTGCGACCTCTGCGAATGACCCGCGGGGAAGCGGCTGTCGCAGAGCCACTGCCGACGATATCCCTTCGAGCAACCTAAGGATCACGGAAAGCAGTTCTACAGAAATGCATTTTCGGTGTGATTGCGTGGTGTACGGTACTGTATAGTAGTGAAGACTAGTGCGTAGTGGTATAGGGACGGTGTGAATAGAGAGAGACGGTGGTGTGTGGCCAGGTGGTCATTACAGTAGTGTAGAGTCGTGGTGTAGAGTAGTGTATAGGATGTGATGTATAGTGTAGTGTGTAGTGTAGTGTATAGTTTGTACGTTGAACTTCTTGACACCGTACATAGCCAACCATGCGCTCAGGTGGTGCGGGCAGGGGAAAGACAAACTAAATACTAAAAGCAGTTCTAAAGAAAACAGTGTTCAATCTAGACTAATATCGCGCTTTATATTATCGGAAGAGCATTCCAGACGGCCGCAGACGCTCATCCGAGAGCGCTGCGCGCAATGATGCAGTGACCAGCGTCTGTCCGATGGCAGAGCTAGAAAGCCGCCGCTGCTGCTACCAAGATGACCGGGAGTTTGTGGAACGATTGACGCTCCTGGACGAGATCATGTTTACACGCTTTCATTGAACTCACTCCGTCTGTTGTCGTATCCTCAAATCTTGTAACTCAATTTCAACCGGGGGTGGGGGGGGGGGCCCACCTTGGGAGATGTCGTATCCTCTGTCGCAGCATGTGACGGTGCATTCCTCGGCTGCCTCGGTGTCGTTGCAGCGCTGCCTCCCCACCGCTCCGCTGGTGCTGCCACGGACGCAGTACTCCGGGCTGGCGCTCACGTGGACCAGGTCATACTCCGAGGGCGCCGTCAACCACTCGTTCACCGGCTCCAGACGCCAGCGGGCGGCGCCGCCACTTCCACCGCTCCTGTTGTCCCTCACCAGCCGCATGGCGGAACTTCTGTCGTACTTTCCCTGCAGCCATCATTGACATTATCGTCATCATCATCAGGGGGGGGGAGGATCCGCCATGTTTTCTTTTGAAGTGGTGGTGGTTGAGTGAATGCTGTTAGGGACCCCTCCCCCCGTTTGTAACCCGACTGTGGATTAATCCTCCGGGTGCAGTCTCATCACCGGCAGCCGTGAGCTCACGTTCAGAAAGTCGCCAACGTCGCGAAAGTCTTCGCGCAGCGGCAGGCAGACTCTGTCGCATTCACCGGTTCTGTTGTCGCAACCGCAGTAGTACAACAGTTCTTCCATCACCTGCAGCACCACCACCACGGTCATTGTTACTACCACAATCAGTTACCACCAACACCATCATCATTTGTCACTACCAACCGCCATTCGCCACTAAGTGGCGGTGACGTCACGAGGGAGATTGTGCCAGGCCGTGTGCACGTTGAGGCCACGTGAAGTGTCCAACGCCCGCTGGCAGGAGGTCACGGGGCAGACCCAGGTGCCACGGGTCGACTGACTGAGATGACTGGCTGATGCACCACCTGTGCCCCCTACTATGCCAACATGCTGTGCTTTAGCCACCCGGCGCTCCGCTCGTTGTTGTGAGCGTCGCTCCTCCACCCTCCTGTTGTTGTTGGAGGGCGACTGCCTCCAACTGCCCAGTAGCGTCCTTCACGAGCCTCCTCCACAGAGGCCGATCTTGACACCGCTGGTACCAGTCATCGGCAAGTCCACTCAGCTCCACGTCCTCCTGTACCACATCACTGCATCCCTTCTCCAGCCTGTGCCGCACCCAAGGGTAGTGGCGCAAAGCCAGGCTGCTACTCACAGGAGCAGCAGCGCAACGGCTAATGACGAACCATGAGCGTGCTGACTTGGGGGGTTAGATCGGTAAAGTCACGTAGATAGAAAAATAATAAATCACATTTCAACCTGCAACACAAGCAATCGGGTGGCTACAGCAGTAGAACTGCTGAACAAGACAACCCCTAGACAACGATGCCGATCCAAGTATATAAATGTGCAGCATTTCATAAACTGATACTTTTTTCCATAAAAAAACATTTCATACGACAATACCTACAACCCACCCGCCCACTCACCACGCGACCAACTTCGTAGTTGTGCAAATCCATCTGCACGAGTTTCGCCAAAGACTTGCGTTGTCCCCCTCGCCTCCAGCGGTCGTGGACACTCGCGTCCACAAACACCTTGGCGAAATGGGCTCCGTACTCGATGTTACCTCTGGGGTGCAGCAAGGGGTCATAGGTCCAGGTGCAGCTGTCGCGGATCACCTGCGGGGTGTAGCAGGCGCGCGCCACCGCGTGCACCACTCCCGCGGCGGCGAGGGCGGAGAAGAAGGCGGTCTCGCGAGAGCCTGGGCCCCCCCCCCCCACAAAACAATTTCATCATTTGTCTATAATGGAGGTTGTTGTTTTTCTATCTAGCGTAGGTCGCCGAAATAGAAACGTCACGTCGTTAAAACAGCCGCCGCGTCCGACCGGCAAGGCTTCGGCACGTAGACAGAACGTGGCGAATTCTTGACTAGTGCAATGACAGGGCTCATGGAACCTGCTGGAAGGTTCTAGAAGGGGGCGTGTCTGGGCTAGAGGTAGAAGGTGGGTCAGTGGGGAAGCTCATGGAACCTGCTGGAAGGTTCTAGAAGGGGGCGTGTCTGGGCTAGAGGTAGAAGGTGGGTCAGTGGGGAAGCTCATGGAACCTGCTGGAAGGTTCTAGAAGGGGGCGTGTCTGGGCTAGAGGTAGAAGGTGGGTCAGTGGGGAAGCTCATGGAACCTGCTGGAAGGTTCTAGAAGGGGGCGTGTCTGGGCTAGAGGTAGAAGGTGGGTCAGTGGGGAAGCTCATGGAACCTGCTGGAAGGTTCTAGAAGGGGGCGTGTCTGGGCTAGAGGTAGAAGGTGGGTCAGTGGGGAAGCTCATGGAACCTGCTGGAAGGTTCTAGAAGGGGGCGTGGCCTAGCTACGCTCGCCGTGTTCCGGCCGCATGTCCGATCCTCTGCACGGCTCCCATCGTCGTCATCGCTGCATTAGTCAGCCAGCTGTGCAGTTAGAAGCCGACGATGGGGCCGTGTAGAAAGGTCGTCCGTGTGTAGCTGAACTTCGAGGGGAAACCCGCTTTGCCGGGAGAGGCTCGACACTGGCTCTGACCCGGGGAGACGATCTCCTTACCCGACCGAGGAATAGGGACGAGCCCATTCTCCGTGGTCCAGTTCGACCGCTTGGCCTGGAACTGGTGCCGATACTCGGCAATCGCCAGCTGGACACCCTCGGCCACGAGCTTCATGAAGTGCGGCTGCTTCTGGCATATTTGGCGCTGTGTGGGGGACAGCCCCGGCGACGTGCTGCACAACAGCAGCGGATGCGTGGAGGGGTCGACCCGGGGTGTCCACAATGCCAGCGACCTGCAGAGGGAAGGGGGTGGAGGGGGGTCACGGTGGCCAGGGGATGTTGACTACCTCGCCTGGTATGCAGTAGGTAGTAGGTTTGATCCCAACCCTGACGCCTGCTGCTGCTGTACATTTGGAGTCTGTGTGTCTCTATCATCATCACTGTGGCTAGATATATTTTTTATGACAACATTTATACATTTACGCGATGTAACCCCCCCAAAAAAACTCCTGTGGATGATATTGGTCACGAGAGCCCTGCCCGCTACTCGGTGTTAAACAAAACACAAACAGCCGTATGGGGGGGGGGGGGGGTGTGCAAGATATTAGACACTTGTGCGCCCATCGCAGAAGAAGAGTGAAGAGGAAATCAGCGGCGGCGTCTCGCGGTTACCACCAAGAGTCGCTGGCGACTGCCCCCAGCTGTGCCGTGGCGCAGAGTCCCAGCAGCAGCGGGGAGAAGCCCATCGGAGTTCTCATGGCCAGCGACACTGTGCAGAAGAGAAGCAGAGCGGTGGTGACGATGTTCACACCCTCGCATGGTCTGCATATTTTGAGTTTTCATGTCTCACTCATCATCATCATCACGGTGGCTGGGAGATGTTAACTTCCTCGCCTGGTACACGGGATCGAACCCACGACCGCTTGTGTACCGGGCGAGGGAGTAAACATCTCACCACCGTGGTCGTGATGAACTCCAACTGCTGATGTCTGTAGCCGACCGACCTTATAACCACGACGTGCATTGAATGTGTGGTGGCATCGTTTGGCGCCATGCCATATTCTTGGCCTGCAGTACCGGTCCCGTGTCAACAGGGGGCGCAAGGGCCGAACGAGATTTCCTCGTCTTCTTGGTTCTTTCGGTAAAGTCACGTAGAAGGGAAGTAATAAAATAATAAAAATAAAACATAATAAAATAATTCTCACGACGTTTCGGCCACAACGCAAGCAGCCGTCCTCAGGTGAAGAACAGGTCTGTCGAGAAGACAGAGTCTGAATGACAACCCCAGGCTTGGAGCGTCTTTTTAAGCTGGGTTGGAGGGGGGGGAAGAGCGCCTTGACAAAAGAATTTGCATTTCAAGAGAAATTTAGCATATTTATGGGAAGTGTAGGAGGTGGGCTGGGGGTTTTCAAAGTCATATTATACCCATGCATTATGCAGGATTAGCAGCATCAAAGGGAGGGGGTAGGGGGTAGCATTAACAAAGGGAGGGAATGTTAATAGTATGTAGAAGCAGGAGACCCGCAACGGAGCAAATATTGCATTCCCTGTGGAGCACACAAGATACAGTCAATGCCAGTGAGTGGACTGCGGTCTGAAAGTCACCGTAAACGTGAACAATCAGTTAAGATCCGAAATGGTTTATTACGTCCTTCCAATGATTGCCGAGCCAGAATCCATCTTCTCGGTTGAAATTGTCTCTGTGTTTGTATATGTGGATCGCCTCATGAACGAATCTCTCATGATAGCCAGATGGCTTGCAGAGAACCTCTGTCTTGGAGAAGTCAATGTCATGTGAGCCCACTGAATTGTAACAGTGATCTGCCACGGCTGAGGAGTTTGTCCTACCGTGTTTCAGGTCTGCTTTATGTTCACGGATGCGGTCCGAGACATGTCGTTTGGTTTCTCCAATGTAACTGCTACCACAGAGGCAACTTAGTTTGTAGACGCCAGGGAACTGTATGTCTGGAACCACATCTTTTACAGACGGGACCAGATCACGAATTTTATGTACTGTGTTGAATCGGACCTGGATCTTATGTTTAATCAGGATTTTGGAGATCTTTTTTGTGACCCCAGCAATGTAGGGTAGGGTGATAGTTTTGATAGGCTCCTCAACAGGATCCTTCTTGATGGTTGGAGTGATGGCCTTGCGGATTGTGTAGTCGGAGTAACCATTAGCCTTAAGAGCTTGGCGTACGTGTTTGAGTTCACTGGCAATGTGTTCCTGGTCGGAGATGCGTTGGGCTCTATGGTATAGAGTCTTGATGAGGGAGTTTTTTCTGGGATGGATGGTGGTGGGAATCCGGTTTTAGGTAAGCATCCGTGTGGGTGGCTTTCCTGTAGACAGAATGGCTCATTGAACCATCAGGTCTCCTTTTAATTTAGACATCCAAAAAGGGTAGCTTGCCTCCTTTTTCGACTTCCATGGTGAATCTGATGGCTGGGTGTATGGAATTGATGTGGTCGAGGAATTGGTCTAGAGCAGGCCGGCCATGTGGCCAGATGACAAAAGTGTCATCTACGTACCTCTTCCACAAGGTCGGGCATAGAGTGGCAGTCTGGATGGCGTCAGTCTCAAATTTCTCCATGAAAACGTTGGCTACAACCGGAGATAGGGGGGAGCCCATTGGGGTACCCTCAGTTTGTTTGTAGAAAGTTCCATTCCAGGTGAAGTATGTATTGATTAAGCAGTGTCTCACCAGGGGGGGGGGGGGGTACCCCAGCATTCAGTCCTTGATGAATCAAGTCTTCAATGATTGCGATGGTGTCAGGTACAGGAACTTTGGTGAATAAGGAAACCACATCAACTGACAAGCAGGTCGTCTGGGGACAGGGCAATCCCCTTGATTGTCGATACCAGGTCAGTAGAGTTTAGTACCCAGAAGGTGGTTTTTCCAGTGAAAGGCCGTAGGATTTCAGACAAAAAACGAGCCCTTCTACGCGACTTTACCGAAAGAACCAAGAAGATGAAGTCCCTGCAGTCACGAAAGCTTGAGAGATTTCCTCGATTAAGTAGATAATTCAGTGTGTAACAAAAACATGTTTTATTGTTGTCCCTGTGTAGTAAGTGTTATACCTAATAGCTAGTGCCTCAAAAGTAGAGAAAGTGGGCTCTTAATACTCCACACAAACGTTGCTTGTGTGACCCAGGACACAAAAGCGAAGTGAATAATCCACTCCATTAATAACAGTGTCACAACAACATTGTCCCTTAGTAGTACAGTTTTATTATCTAATAGCTTATGTCTCAAAAGTAGAGAAAGTGGCTATTGTTAATCTCAACAAATTCTAAATTTGAAGCTTTCGTGACTGCAAGGATTCATACTCGGAGGTTTTTTTCAGTAAAGTCACGTAGGTAGAAATAAATAAACTAAAATAAATTAAAAATAAATTTAAATAAAATCTCCTCACAAACGTTGCTTTTGTGACCCAGGACATTGATAAATTTAACTATTTTAAATAAAAAAACGTGGCGTGCATTTGTGTCATCCCTTCACGTAAAGTCCTGCTCACAAACGCAAAGTTTGTGTGGAATAATACTATCCATTAAACATACTTTGTAGCCATAACCAATTTAGCAACACACAACACTTTACTACGCAGGGTCAGACCTCGTGTTAGGTAGTCACCCGGCAGCGGTGTTCTCGTTGTTGTTGTTGAACTAATAAATATAATCTAGATATGCAAGGAGACCCATGCATTGTATAGGTAAACCCACTAAAAGAAACTCCTTAAAAAAAAAAAAGTTAATACAAATTTATTTTTTATTTTAAAAAATTGTAACATTTTTTAAAAGAAGTCGAGCGGACAACGTGGAAGTAAACGACGTTTCGACCACGAGCCTTGTGCGCGCCACACACACAGAGAGAGAGAGAGGAACGAATGAAGTTGAATAATTAAACAACAAGTTTGAGTTGCGCGACACGCGCTCGGCGCTCACCGCGTGTTCAGAAGCTTCGTGGGCGACGCGATTCCAGAGCTCATGGGCCGCGGTGTTCTCGATTCCCGGCGGGAAAATAGATATTTAATTAACAAGACGTCCACGCTTTTAAAGAGACGCTTAAGTGATTGACGCCGATTTTTATTGATTGCTTTATCAATTAGGTGTTTTTTATTTAGAGTGATGCACGCACACGACGCAGGTGAGCCTGAGGCACGTGGCGCCTGGTTGGTGTGCGGGCAGTACGTTGTCACAGTGAGCACACAGTCTCGTGGATTGGACAACAGGAAGTAGACTAAACATGTTGTTACAAGATGTTGACCACGACAACAGAGGCATATCACGTGAAGTGAAAGCGTTGAAAAATATAAAGGGGCAGAAATTACTCCATCAAGAAAACTAAATTTTAATTAAAACCCAGTACACATGCAACGTTGAGACAATGTGGTTAACATAGGTGTACACACACAGTGTGGTTAACATACAGTGAGGGAAAAAAGTATTTGATCCCCTGCTGATTTTGTACGTTCGCCCACTGACAAAGAAATGATCAGTCTATAATATTAAAGGTAGGTTTATTTGAACAGTGAGAGACAGAATAACAACAAAAATCTAGGGAAAAATGTTATAAATTGATTTGCATTTTAATGAGGGAAATAAGTATTTGACCCCCTCTCAATCAGAAAGATTTCTGGCTCCCAGGTGTCTTTTATACAGGTAACGAGCTGAGATTAGGAGCACACTCTTAAATGGAGTGCTCCTAATCTCAGCTTGTTAGCTATATAAAAGACACCTGTTCACAGAAGCAATCAATCAGATTCCAAACGCTCCACCATGGCCAAGAGCAAAGAGCTCTCCAAGGATTTAAAGCTTTCGTGACGGCAGGGATTCATCTTCTTGGTTCTTTCGGTAAAGTCACGTAGAAGGGAAGTAATAAAATAAAAAAACATAATAAAATAATTCTCACGACGTGTCGGCTATAACGCAAGCAGCCGTCTTCAGGTGAAGAATGAGACACTGCCAAGCGAGGAGCTTATATATAAGCTGGGTAGGAGGTGGAAGAGGAGCGCCTTAACAAAAGAATGTGCATATCAAGAGGAATTTAGCATATTCATGGGAAATGTGTAGGAGGTGGGCGGGGGGGTTTCAAAGTCATATTATGCCCATGCATTATGCAGGATCAGCAGCACCAAGGGAGGGTGCAGGGAGTAGCATTAACAAAGGAAAGGAATGTTAATAGTATGTAGCTGCAGTTACTGAACAACCACGTAGAAAACTAAAGTATAAACTACATAAAAAAACTGAAGTATAAACTGCATAGCATCATCAGTATATTTACTATACTCTACAATAAGCTGAGTTTACTAACAGCAAGTAATACATTACAATTCTACGTCGTAAAAATTATATAATATGCTTCCATCTAAACTTTATTCTCTTACATCACACGAGCATACACCGTACTATATACTGCCATAGATAAACCCAACATTAAATTATATACTGTATTGCTATAAACCACCCTATACCTTTAATATAACACTATGTATTATTCTACCCACCCTAATATGTATCACACTGCTATATGCTGCTATATGTTTACTATACAATTACGATACTATATGTTACTTTGTACATTGTATTAAGCATATAACTGTTATTAATGTAATGCGGGCGTAAATGGGCGGGGCGGATATGACGATCCGAGAGGGAGGAGTCAGGGTCACGTGGGGGAGAAGTTATAGCAGGGAGACAGGAAGCCATCTGGGTCAGTCGGGGGAGTGAAGGGTGGTGAACGCGTTGGGTGGTCGCCGTGCCTCAGCCTG